AGTTTTTTTCAATGTATACCAAAACAAAGAATAGAATAAAATTTAGTGATGGTTTAAGTACATCTTTTATATCTGAAAGAGGTGTCAAACAAGGCGATGTTCTAAACCCTTTGCTATTTAATCTTTGTATTAATAATATTGTTGAAAATTTAAAAAAAACAACAGCACGGACCCTGTGCTAATTGGTGATGATAGGATTCATTGTTTGTTATATGCCGATGACTTGGTACTATTGTCAAGTAGTTCAGAAGGACTACAATGTAGTCTTGACACTCTGGCTCAGTTCTGTACAGATTGGAAGCAGGAAGTAAATTCTACAAAATCAAAAGTCCGAATGTTAAATTCTAAAGGTAAATCATTTCAAAACTTTTTTACTATCAACATTTATTATATTGAGACAGTTGATAAATATTGTTACCTTGGGATAACTTTAAAATGCAATGGTAAATTTAACCTTGCCTCCAATTTATTGATGGAAAAGGCTAGAAAAGCTCTATTCAAAATAAAGAAATCTCTTAGTCTTAACAATTCATGTAGACTTTTAGAAAAACTTTTTGATACAATGGTACTTCCAATTTTATTATATGGAAGTGAAGTTTGGGGTATTGAATCTATTCAAAAAAATACTGAGAATGAACCATATGAAAAGTTTCATATAAAATTTATGAAAGAAATTCTTGGGGTTCACTGTAAAACATCCTCCATGCATGTCGCAGTGAGCTTGGTAGACTCAAATTTTTAGATCATTTAATCTCATCTAACAAGATCTTAGCTCATGACATATTTATTCAAACAAGAGAAAACAACCTATGGACAAGTAATATGAAGAAATGTATCCAAAATCTGGGTTTCTCGTATTTAACATCTTTTCATGTACCTATTAAACCTATATATGCTTGCTCAAATAAAACAACGAATTCATGACCAAATTTTACAGGAACAGAACTCATATATTACGGAATCATCAAAATTATCATTTTTTCAACATTTTTGTTTTTCAAATAAACGTGCACACTATGTTGACCAATTGAATATGTTGAAAGATAGGGCACCTTTGGCAAAACTAAGGCTCAGTGCACACAATCTTGAAATTGAAAGAGGCAGATACATGCAAGTTAACAGAGAAGAAAGGTTGTGCAAATTATGTCATAATAATAATATAGTTGACGAAAAACATTTTATCTTGCACTGTACAAAATATGAATCACAAAGAAATGTTCTTATATCAAAATTGTCCAATTTTAAAAATTATGACAAACAATCCAAAACTGAGGATGAATATATCAAACTACTACTTAATAGCAAGTGTAGAAAAACACTTAGATTAAAATCATCTTTTATTAATCAATCATTTGAAATATGGAAAAATGTCCTGACAAATGAGTAATATGAACAATTTGAAGCTATAACATACAATATACTTATGTCAGTAGCCTATTCCAAATTAACCTATGTATATTAATATATATATAACTGCACATTTCATTGTTCGAAATGTGCCTATTGATATGTTATGTAGTATTGTTTAATTGCTGCATCATTACTATCTGTATACTAGTTGTATGGGCCGTTGCCAATTATTGTAATTGAGTTTGTGCCAATAAAATATTTGTATTTGTATTTGTATAATTTTCATTTGAGAATCAGGTATACTAGTATATACATAAAAACATCCGATGTACAATATATGACACTTTCGACACCACACTCAAACACAAGGCATGGATATTTTACTTAGTCATGCAATTTCCGGAGGCTGTGTTGACAATAGGTCAGTTTAAGGGAAACCACCTGTAGAGAGTCGTCTGTATGAATTAATACAACGGTTTGAGAGAGCGCCGCCGATTTATTGACGGGGCGTGAGCGCAGATTTGAAGCTATCTACGCTTAATGCGCGCACTACAGTGTCGTCTAGCTGATTCCACTCGATCACTGAATTTGAGTTTTGAGTTTGAATATTGTGGTGTTTTGCATGGTGGAATATCAAAACACTTAGAGTTGTTCTTTACTTGCTTTTCCACAATATTTGTTGCGTGGTTTTCTTTAAATTTCTTGGCAGTTATGGTTCTCTTCGGACATGTTTTTTTTAGGAACTCGTCTGGTTCAATAGCGAACCAGCCCCTCAACCACTTTGTACATAAATATTAACATTTGGCTTGTTTTTTACAATCTTGTATCTTCTTAGAAAGCCAAGTGTTGAGTTCGCTTTCTTTGCCTCGTTTGGTATGTGGGTGGTCCATTTGAGATCCTCTGAAATTTGTAGGCCTAGGTACGGGTTATGCTGAACTTGCCGTAGTATGTGTCCATTTAAACTGTAGAATTTATGGCTCTTGTTTCTGATGATAAGGATGTAGCATTTTTTGGCATTGAACTGCATTCCCCATTCCCCATTTGCTGCCATACTCCTAGGTTTTTTTAGGTCTTCTTGAGGTGTGTCGTGGTCTTTCTGAGATTTCACTGTTCTGTAAAGAAGGCAGTCATCAGCGAAAAGTCTGACTGAAGATTTGACCACGTCTGGGAGGTCATTTGTCATATGGTCTTGTATTAGGATTTGCAAGTCTCGTTTCAATGCCAGAGATAATATTGCCCAGGCCGCGCATCATGGTTCGTTGATTTTGAAACGTTTGCATACTAAGTAGTAAAATGTAAAAAACAGTTTGTTTTTAAATTTAATTTAAATTTTAAAGGGAACCACTTATGATAGATAAATCATTGGTATTTGATTTGCAGTTTTATTAGCTTTGACATTTTTCATTTCAAATGAGGTTATTTGGACTTGCATCTTCAGTCATTATTTATTCTTTGAATGTTTCGAATATTACATGTCTAAATATTGCTATTTATTCAACATTGGCATTATACTATCGAATTACATAAAGGCAAGATATGTCTCGGTGTCTAAAAATTATTAACTTAAGCAAGCTGGTATGTGTTCTAATTTTACGGTCAATTTCGTTTCATTTTCTCTAAATTATTAGCGCCTTTATTGTAGGAGGGACGCATTGGGTGTGAGTTCGCATCTCCAGGGCATCAAGGAAAATCATTTACATGAAATGCCTCTTTTACCTATTTTCTTAAACCATTTAACTATATATGCTTGATCATGAGTTTTTCGGTTAAGCATGTATGGAAACAGCAATTAATATTAACAGTATATTCTTATATGGAAAGGGGTATTAATCAGAAAAGCTTTGAGAAACATTGCAAAAGGTAACACATCAAACCACCAATCCCTGCAATTGTCGTTCTTCATATCTGACAAACAAACAGAAGACAGTCATGACTTACACAAAACACACATTAAAATGATGTTTGAATTCAAAAAGGACGGCACAAGAGATATAGATGACATCTAACAGTTATAGACACTTCTCCTGAAGAATCGGATGCTGATTATGTGTATTCATGAATTTCACCAAATAAGCTAGGGGCCTCGGTGGCCGAGTGGTCTAAGAGGTTACTACTGTAATCATTAGCCAGTCAACACTGAGGTTGTGAGTTTGAACCCCGCTCGTGTGGGTGCACTCGACTCCAATCTTAATTGACTAGGATTGTCAGTTTTCCTATCGAAGGTCGGTGGTTTTCTCCGGGCACACCGGCTTCCTCAACCCAATACAAACTGGCCGCCACGAAATAGCCTAAATGCGGTGCTTAAAAGTGGCGTTTAAACAACAAAAATAATAAAAAAAAAAATCAAATAAGCTATAACTTTGGCATGCAGTTTATTTTCGATCTATGAGTTTGACTGCCCCTCTGTGGTATCTTCCGCTCCTCTTTTGAAATACTATTAGTACATTGTGGCACCGTTAAAGTCCCCAATTCCTCTAAAGTCCACACCACCGCTAAATTCCACAACAAATTTCCGCTAAAGTCCACAACGCCGCTAAAGTCCACAAAATGACCTCCGCTAAAGTCCACAAGAAAACGCCGTTAAAGTCCACAATAACAAGTTCCGCTAAGGTCCACAAAAAACACCGTTAAAGTCCACACAACTTTTTTTATTATTAGAATATCAATTCGCTTTTTTTTTATCCGGTAGTACAATACAAAGCATGGGCTTTTGTTCTTGGTAGTTATTTTTTATCAGTTTGATAAATGAAAAAAAGTACAGTATCTGTAGAAAATGTTGTTCCATTAATTTGATCTTTGTATTATGATGATCCGATCAATGAATCAAACAGGCCAATTTGCACATCATTTCTAAAACGTTATCTAGTCAGAGTAAATTCGTTAGTTATTACATAATTACTGCATTCTTCAAGTACTGTTTTTTTTTTCTTATTCTTTGTATATAATCACTTTTTTATGTCACTATAAATGTACAGAGCAAAAGTCTCGGGACATGTTATTAATAATGTTTTATTTTTTTTTTATGTTGATGTTTAAAAACATGAGCACCCACAAGAAATTCGACATATAATTCGATTATGCTAGTTTTAATTAAACTGTTACTAAACATAAGCACATGGACATGGGGTCATAATAATGTATCCTGCACTCCCCTCCAGCTATTTTTTCAACTTTTATATAGTTTGCCGATATACAAATAGTTGGCTCCCCTCCAGCTATTTTTTTAACTTTTATATAGTTTGCCGATATACAAATAGTTGGATAGTAAAACAGCACAAATAAGTAAAAATATCAGTATAGATGACCAGGAATAGATAGGTAAACGTTATTTGTATAAATGGCTTGAAATCAGAACTTTGACAAAATATTGCCTCGTAAAAAAGGGGGAGGACAGGGTACATCATCATGACCCCATGTACATTTGTAAATAAGATGTGGTATGAGTGCAAATGAGACCACCCTCCATCCAATATTTTTGTATTGATAATTGCTATCGGATTAACGTATTTAAGAACCTACATTGTATACATAATTATTATAACAAGACTGGACACACTTAAATGTCTTCCCTGTTTTAGTGTTTATAATTGAAGTTATTTGAAAGTGAACATTTTTTTTTACAACAAGCAATACATTAAATTATCAATTCAATGATCAATGAACATGATGTCAAGGTGAGATAAATCTTTTCAGACAGACATGGAGGCCGTATAAATTCATCCCATGATATACCAAATTAAGTTAACTATCGCTTAAAGTATCTCGGAAGTAAACATCATCAAGAAATAAGTGATATAATTTCAAATGAGACAACCCTCCACAATAGGCCAAATTACACAGAAATTAACAGAACTATAGGTCCCCGTCCGGCCTTCAACAATGAATAAAGCCCAATCCGTATCATATATTCAAGTAAACTATAAAAGGCCCCGAAATGACAAATGTTAAAAAATTCAAACGAGAAAAACCAATGGCCTTATTTATGTAAAAATAATGAACGAAAAATAAATATGTTTCACAACAACATACGACAACCACTATTTTGTAACAGTATAAAATAAGAACAAACTATAAAATTCATTTGAAAAGGGCTTTACACATCTGATGGATACAAATAGAAATACATCTAACAAATACACAGAGTGGAAGTGGCAATGTACATACAAATCCCCATAACACCGAAAAAGACACTCAATACAGAGCTGAGAGTAACGCAGTTGCTTACTAAGCATACTTTTTTTACGTTTTATTTTCACTCTAACATTCAGAATACTTTCATTATGATCTCTTTTAAGTTTGAATGAAAAAGGTAGGACCAGGTATCAGTAATGAAAAGGAATTCCTGTTTTTGATCATTTTAATCTGTCTTGATCCATTATTCATGAATATTTTGGCTTCCCCTTGTATTAATGTAGCAGAAATGTATTTCTGTGTTGAAATAATTTGGTTACAGCAGTAAAAATACTTACCAAAATATAAATATTAAATTAACTCTTATAATAATAATATTATGGCAGAAAGGGCCTATTTCACTGAGACTGAGTTCTGAAAAGTGATAAAATGTGTTTCTCTAATTTTTTGGCACATGTCTTTAGGATCAAAATATAACTCGTAAATTACTATCGGCCCCGCTTCGTCAGAAATATCGACACATCGAAGTGGCACATTTGCGTATTACAGCATATTAAGTGGCACAAATTTGACATATCATAGTCCAAGTTATGTTACATAACATAATTTAAATTCAGCATAGCTTCCCGAGAAGTTAAGAAAGAAAATTACGATTTTAATTTCCTGTGACCAATTTTGGTCAAAACCTAGACTTTGAAGGCACATTTTGAGAGAAAAAATTAGTTTAATCCATATTTGAGTGGATAAATATATTTCTTATATACTCAAGAATGTTCACTTAAAAGCAAATTAGTTTTAATTCATTCAAAAAACTACAAATTCCAAAAAACGGGCTTCACTTTTTTTGGTAAAAAAATGCCCATATATGGTAATCACATGACTTCCATTGTTGCTTTAAAAAATTGGGTCAAACCGGGGTCAGCTTTCCGACTGTAACACAATTGTGACTTACATTGCGTGTTATAGAATATACATTTTCATCCTGTCTTGAGCAAATTTATTTATATTTTAAGTTCTTACTTGGCCCAGTGAAAATCCTCCTGCCCCTTTTGATATTCGCCAAAACATGTTCATATTCATACAAAAAAACACATTATTATGTTATTCCTTAACGAATTAATCTAAACTCTTGCATGTGTAAATCAGTTGCATAACAAAAATGTAACAGTTGTATTGTTATAATTTGTTTTAAGCTAGGTTCACACTGCCGATCGAATCAACTCGATCAACCCAGATCAAGACATATTGAGCGATCGGGAGACTGGTCTAATTCAATCGACAAGAATGTTCGGGGTAGTCTACCTTGCTCGTCATCGATCTGCCTTTCTACCCGAGAATTTTTGTTATCTCATAAACATTCGAGTAAGGATTGAGAAGCCAGTCACTCGAGAAGCGGTCGAATTGATCGGGAAAGGATCATGTAGGGATTGAGTTTGGTCGGAATACACATATTTTACCGATCAGTACTCGATCATCGCAACCTTTCCTCGACTGATACCCGATCATTTTCCGATCAACGCCACCCTGTCTGATCTGTGGTCCAAATTAACTCGACCAATGCCCGTGCGCTTCCATATAATTGCGACTTCTATTACTTTTTTTTTTCCCAACAGAGATAAACACTCCTGACAGAATAAAAGTTTTCCTGGATGATATAAGAAGGTCACCTGGGACTCTATTCATTAGGCCAAATGACTTTTTAACAGCAACAGGGCTAGTTCAGGTATAAAGTCCTAAAAATCTTCAAAGTTTAGAAAATCCATTTCTTATACTTTGTGATAGTACTGAGTTTATTAGGGAAAAAATGAAGCTATCGGGAAAACGCAAATATAAAGTGAAAATCATTTATCGGTTTACTCCCATGTGAAATGATGTGAAGATTTATTTGATTTATTTCTAAGAGAGAGGGGGGGGGCTAATTTAAGTAGTCCCAACTAAGCTAAAGGAGGTAATTGACAAATTTCTTTCATAAACACTTTAACACATGGCATAAAGTTGAGCTTATAACCATTGTAGACTTTAAGAAAGAAATTATGATCGATGGCATTCTTGCTTTACAATCACTTTTTTATTTCATTGTTTTGTTTGGTTTTTTTTTACGTACTGGCATATTTGTGATTACCTTTCCATCGGTCATTTGATTTACTTAACTTAAATGTTTATTGAAAGTGACTAGAGTAACATGATTTAGTATGATTTTTAGAACCAAGATATAAGACAAGATGAAGAAAAAGAAGAAGAAGAAGTAGAAAGATTGCAGAAAGAGCAGAATGAAATAATAGAGGTAAATGAATGTATAGTGTAGCAAATAATAGTAAGATATATCTGAAAAATAAAATGTGGTCACCAGAAAAAACTAAGCTGTGATATTTTATTCGTGCAATAAATTGATACGGGTCAACCTATGTTCTTGAGAACTTTACGCAACCAATGCTTTACAAATTTCAAACGATCAATGTTGTTACTGATGACAAAATGGAAAAATGGAAACCAGGATTCTAACGATCTTATTTATTTATTTATTAATAATTAAATTACATGTATGTTTCAGAAGAATCCGTTATAATGATTGGATATCAACGCTTGTGCGCCATACTTAAATTAACCTTCATATCATAATGAAGTGTAACATTCATGATCAAAGTGCATGGGTTAATTTAAGAAATAGATGATAGAAATCGATTTTTCATGACCCTAGCATAAAAATGTAATTATACGATATGAATGATCCTTTTAGTAATCTTAAAGGGTTATAAAAGTGTTGATCGTGCGCACATTTCCATACCAGGAAAGTCGCCTCCCAAAACATCAATATAATAATAACATTTCTTGAATGAAGCGCTTCCGCGTTTCTTACAAACATGTGCTTCAGTCAACACTTTTACACCTCAATAAAATAATTTCATATATCAACAGAACAATACGGAAGCGTATTAGCGCCACACATTTTTTTTTTTAATTTTTCTTCCTATCTTTGCGTTATAACGCAAACCTTTGCGTTAAAACGCAAACCTATGCGTTATTGAACAAAGTAGATATTTTACTGTTATAGTTAATTCACAATGAATAAAATTACGATCGATCGGAACTCGCGTGCTTCATCATATGAGCATAACGAAATCAGAGATCTATATTTTAATTAGAATAGTTAATTCATTACTTCTTTTCAACGACTATGACTTTGGTTTACTAAAACTGATGTACTCAAAGTCTCTCTAAGGAGTATAAAACTCTTTATAAGAACGAAACCGTACGTTACTACTACTGAATTGCATTTTGTTTTTCAAACACAACATCTTTCTATTTCTTTTTTTTTTTTTGCGTTCTAGCATACTTTTTCAAAACTTTTCCACCGGCCATTTAATTATTTTTCTTCGGACTCCGAAGTTTATTAATAATGACTAGTGTAGCATAATGTTATTGTGTGATTATTAGGACCAAGATAAAAGAGAAGAAGAAGAAAGATTGGAGAAAGAGCAGAATGAAATAGAACTTGGAGAGGTAAATGAATGTATAGTACAATTAAAATATATCGGAAACTTTGAAGTTTTTATAAATACTAAGGATTTTTCTTCTCCAAGGAATAAATCGATTACCGTAGATTTATTTTGCAAAACCTTTGTTTCGATGTTTTCGGTCTTCAATGCGTTTCAACTTCGTACTTTTTTGTTGCCCTTTTTAACATTTTTATACGACCGCAAAAATTTTTGCGGTCGTATATTGGTATGACGTTGGCGTCGTCGTCGTCGTCGTCGTTGTCGTTGTCGTCGTCGTCCGGCGTCGTCCTGCGTCGTCCGAAGACACATTGGTTTTCGCACTCTAACTTTAGTTTAAGTGAATGGATCTCTATGAAATTTTACCATAAGGTTCAATACCACAAAAGGAAGGTTGGGATTGATTTTGGGGGTTATGGTACCAACAGTTAAGGAATTAGGGGCCAAAAAGGGGCCAAAAATAAGCATTTTTGTAACTTCCAGACATAACTTGTGTGTTAGTGTATGGATCTCTCTGACATTGTACCACAAGGTTCCATATCACAAAGGAAATGCTGGGATTGATTTTGGGGGTAATTGCCTCAAAATATTGGGAATTAGGGGCAAAAAAAGGGGCAAAAAACAAGCATTTTTCTAGTTTCATGACAATAACTTGTGTGAAAGTGTATGGATCTTTCTGAAATTGTACTACAAGGTTTCATATCACACAGGGAAAGCTGGAATTGAGTTTGGGGGTAATTGCCCTAAACGTTTAGGAATAAGGGGCCAAAAAGGGGCCAAAAATAAGCATTTTTCTAGTTTCCAGACAATAACTTGTGTTCAAGTGTATGGATCTCTCTGAAATTGTACCACAAGGTTCCATATCACACAGGGAATGCTGGGATTGATTTTGGGGGTAATTGTCTCAAAATTTTAGGAATTGGGGGCCAAAAAAGGGGCAAAAAACAAGCATTTTTCTAGTTTCATGACAATAACTTGTGTGTAAGTGTTTGGATATTTCTGAAATTGTACTACAAGGTTCCATATCACAAAGGGAAAGCTGGAATTGAGTTTGGGGGTAATTGCCAGAAACGTTTAGGAATTGGGGGCCAAAAAGGGGCCAAAAAACTCATTTTTCTAGTTTCCAGACAATAACTTGTGTTCAAGTGTATGGATCTCTCTGAAATTGTACTGCAAGGTACCATACCACAAAGGGAAGGCTGGGATTGAGTTTGGGGGTGATGAATCATAAGGGGATTCAAAAATTTTGGGTTTTTTTTTTTTTTTTTTTTCCTTTTTTTCCTTTTTTTTTCCTTTTTTTTTTCTTTTAAAATTTTCCATTTTAAGTTGGTTATTTCTGATTTATATTTAAAAGCAAATAATAATGATATGGTAGGAGATACACACCAAACAGATGTGTAAATTATTATATAATAAGTATTGTGCAATAGCAAGAAATTTTCAATTCCACAGTATTGCACAATAGCAAGAAATCTTCAATTGCACAGTATTGCGCAATAGCAAGAAATCTTCAAGTGCACAGTATTGCGCAATAGCAAGAAATATCCAATAGCACAATATTGCGCAATAGCAAGAAATTGTCAATTGTACAGTATTGCGCAATAGCAAGAAATATTCAATTGCACAGTATTGTGCAAAAGAAGATACTTCGTATAAATTGCTTATTTCTTGATCAATTTCAATGGGGTTTTATTCTTGAATTCTTGGGGTTCTTTAATATGCTGAATCTAACCGTGTATTAAGTTTTTGGATTTTGGGCCCTGTTTTTAAATTGGTCCACATTGAGGTCCAAAGGGTCCAAAATTTAACTTTGTTTGATTTCATCAAAAATTGAATTATTGGGGTTCTTTGATATGCCGAATCTAACCGTGTATTTAGATTCTTAAATTTTGGTTCCGTTTTCAAATTGGTCTACATTAAGGTCCAAAGGGTCCAAAATTAAACTTAGTTTGATTTTAACAAAAATTGAATTTTTAGGGTTCTTTGATATGCTGAATCTAAACATGTATTTAGATTTTTGATTATGGGCCCAGTTTTCAAGTTGGTTCAAATCGGGGTCCAAAATTAAACTCAGTTGTTTGATTTCAACAAAAATTAAATATATGGGGTTCTTTGATATGCTGAATCTAACCATGTATTTAGATTTTTGATTTTTGGGCCCCGTTATCAACTTTGTCCACATTGAGGTCAAAAGGGTCTAAAATAAAAATTTGTTTGATTTGATCAAAAATTGAATTCTTGGGGTTCTTTGATATGCTGAATCTAACCATGTATTTAGATTTTGGATATTGGACCATAATAGGTGAATGTCCAATTTAAAATTTTTAAGTTCTTAGACCACATTCATTCTGTGTCAGAAACCTATGCTGTGTCAAATATTTAATCACAATCCAAATTCAGAGCTGTATCAAGCTTGAATGTTGTGTCCATACTTGCCCCAACTGTTCAGGGTTCGACCTCTGTGGTCGTATCAAGCTGCGCCCTGCGGAGCATTTTATTTATTCGAGCGTCAATGACGAGTCTTTTGTAGACGAAATGCGCGCCTGGCGTACAATATTTCAATCCTGGTATCTATACATTTTCATATACCTACAAAGGGTACATATCATTTTTATACTAATTGGTTCTTTTAAGAATATATTCAGGCATTCATAAAACTTTCTTCAGAACTAGGTTTTTCCTATAGAATATATTTGGATGGATTACAGTGACTCCATAAAATCTGAGATGTTTTAAAAGACCAAAATAATTGTCAGTATATAAAAGCTAGGTTCAAATGGAGCTGGTGTGTTACTTTCAAAAACAAAGTACGAAACAGTATTATAAGTTGCATGCTACAGAGTTACACTTCACATGGAAATTCGACTTTCAATTTCTCTACATACAACATCTGCCATGAGTACAAGGATGGTAGGATCAATATTGAATATATATGAATAATTGAAGCCATCAAGGAAACAAAAAATGAATATATACAGATGAAATAAATACATCCATATTATTTTAGCAAACTGAGTGCTTAAATTCATATTAAGATTGGTCTATGCAATTTGCTTTAGACATTCGGTTTGCCGAAACTAATAACTGCAATAATATAAGGACTTTGCATGTACATGTATATTAAACTAGAAGAATAACTAATGTACACTTCTGAGTAATAAATATTTCAAGTCTAAAGCCACACAAATTTAGCCTTTTTTTTGGTGCCCAGTGAGCAGTCTCTGGTTCACGTATTGCTTTTCTTTTTTCTTGAACATTTTAAAGATAGAGAAAAAGTCTGAATTGAAAAAAAGGCAGGATTCAATGTCTACCAATCATTTTTGTTTCACTGAACAACAGGAGTGATTTTTTGCTGAAGTTATAGCGCATTAAAGAAAAATTATTTTTCCAGGAAGGTTTACCCGTTATTGATATTCCTACGAGACGAAGAAGAAGGGCAGCAGAAGTAGCAATCAGCAATATTCATGGATGGTGTGGTAATAGAGTAAGTCTCTGGTTAATTTTGTCAGTTTCTCAAAAAACATTGCTCATTTGCATTGTAAAGCTATATCTATATGCAATACAATTTTCAGTTTTTAGATATATATATGTTTTTATAAATGTGCCTAGAAGATCATCCAAACAATGCTACAGTAGCTATAATTCTTTATTTCCTCACAGACCTGGGGTTGAACCTTTACCTTTCCTTCTCATTACTTTAGCATAACGCCTAGCATTCCGCAACTGCCTTATCACCCCCTCTAACGTCAGATTATCAAAACCAGCTCTAGTTTCTGTTGGTTTACTAGCTCGTATGTATTGACCATGCAAGGGATTAGAAATGAGAGGACAAATTCTCAGTTTGGAAGGAATTAAAGTTAGTAATCAGATGTACTCTAATATTGTACAGTTGATCTTCTAGGTCCATTTATAAATTTCAGGAGTATGGAATTTCTAGCTGATCATTTAATTTGAAGTCCCATGGACAAAGAATAATTGGCAGTTGTCACTAAACAAAGGGAAGACATTATATTCATTTATATAAAAATTTATAAAAACGACCATCAAGCAAATTTAATACTTATCGAGTCGTCTATTATTTCTGATACACACAGAGGAAAACAATTTAAATGTTGATATTGGTACACATGCAACAAATACGAATTCAGTAAAATTGAGGAAACAATTTACCTGGAACTAAATTTGTGATTGATGCGATCAAAATTTTTAATGAACTTTCAAATGGATAAAAAATCGCTTTCTAAAATTATTCTGATTTTTAAAAGATATTATGTTCGTATGAAAATCTTGTGATATTGATAGGCTGTAAAAACTGCATTTATTTCTTGAACAGGCTACTGGAAATACAGTTATTCAAGAAAACACACGTTCTTCGACTAGACCATTGATAAGTGTAAGTAGTAAATAACTATAAGTAGTAGGAACGTTTTTAATTATAAAATTCTTTAGGGTCATTTGTAGATAATATAACAATTTATACCAGTAGATATTGGAATTCTGTTTTGTACTTAATATCAATAAAAAAGAATAAGAATTCCAATTTTCACTAGATGATATTAGAATTACAGTTTGTACTGCAAGCTATATATAATTTATGCACATATTTGTTTTGTAGGGAAATGTTGTCGATAATCAAGGTTTGACATTAACACAGATCCGATCTTTGCAAGATGAAGAATACCTTGCTAGTCTAAATGCTGACAGAAAGAAGGTATCAATCTGGATATTTTTTTTAATATTTTTAGTTCTATGTAGTTTTAAAGAAAAAAAGATTTCGCAGTCATTTCCAGATATATACAAATGTTTTTTTACAATAAGTCTCCCATTCTTATTTACAGTTTTGTTATGTCGGAGCCTTTTATAAGAATATGTGGTGTGATACCCACGAGACAACTAACCATTAGAGACCAAATGACATAGATTGAATTAACTGTAGGTTAATTAACTACCGTCAGACCTTCAACAATTAGCAAAACGTTGCACTGAATGATATATGTTTTAACAGCACATATAGCAGATAGTTTAACATAATTTAGCTTTATTAGTTAATTATAAATATATATCATTACTTTGTTATAGCCATTATGACATTAGTAACTTAAACTGTTGTACTCAAAGTGTATTCAAAGATTGCAAAACTTTTATGTCAGTCATAATATGATTGTTTCTTCAAAGTTTAATGGTAATGGCTTGTTTAATTTATTGATACTGTGTGATTGTTAGGACCAAGAAAAAAGAGAAGAAGAAGAAAGGTTGGCGAAAGAGCAGAATGAAATGATAGAACTTGAAGAGGTACATTAACGAATAGTACAATTAAGAAGATATATCTGAAATATAAAATGCAATTACCAGAAAGAAATAGGCTCTGATGTTTTATTGAAATCTAAAATCAAAAATAAACTTTTTATGGAAATGCAGTTATTTACACGTTTTATGATCCATACAAGATTGTACTTTTATCTGCTTCCACAATTTTTGATACATTAATCAAAATGTGAATTAATTAATTCCATAATCGATATGGATTGCAACTACGAGTTTTAGTATTTTCGAATTTGAATTTTAAATTTTGAATTTTGAATAAATAACAAGAAATCTACATTCAAGTACGTTCAATAAAGTTGAGAAAATATTTTGAAAAAAGAAAAGTAAGCAAGATAAAAATATCAAAACTCTCCATTGAACTCCGTCTCTATATACAGTTTAAAACTTGGATTCCTCATGCATTATTACCCAATGGGTACATATTTTGTGAATTTCTTCCATTGTTAATCGAAAAAAATAATAGTTGTAGAACGATTCAATATTCAATGCATTTTGATCCTTTTTGGGTACTATTCCACTTTCCAATCTGAAATGTAGAGATGAATTTAAACAATATTCGTGCTAGAATACCTTCTTATCATATTTCAGGTCTCTCAGTCCTGGTAGACAATTTGGATATTCATGTAAATATATGCATCCAATTTGCAAATAAGTAATTCGAATTTTGCCAAAATCAAATTATTTTATCCTCTTGTACAGATAATAAAAAGAAGAAAAAGAGATCTCCCTGTAGAACCAGAGACAGGGTTTATATTGAAATTAAGGACAGGTGAAAGAAGAAGATTTAGGCAAACAGATTCAGTTCAGGTATTAAAACCGATATGGAATTTTACATTTGTGCTGTCTGTCAAAGTACGGATTTCAGCATACTTCTCTTATATATAGACACAAGAACGATATAATATATGTCTGTTGATGTAAGCTTATAAAATATTTAGCGGATGAATTCAGCATCTCACTTAGGACGGCGTGCACAAAGTTGAAGGCAACTGTAAAATGCGCTTTTAAAAGTAGTTTCATACAACCGTGTTTAAAATATATTTTAAATATGAAGCTTTTTATGATAAAATGATGAATGCTAGCCATTAAAATCCACATTACTAATAAAGTTATCAAAATTAAATCTATAAAGTATGAAACGAACATAGAGAAAACGGCAAAATTATGTGAAACTTGTAACATAAAATAAGCATAAAATAGAGTTTTTGACCTGAAATTTATACAAATTCAACATATTTTCCCGCATTTTCGTATAATAGAATTTTTCGGATTCGGACTATGACGTCATACGAAATTCACCGCAAAAAAATTAAAAAACGGCCAACGGATGAGTTTGAAATGTAGTTCGTTATGTGTAAGAAGTAGCAATTTGGAAGGATTAATATTCGAAAATGGAAGAATCGGTAAGAAAAAATATTTAATTGCTTTTTTTTTTATTTCAAAATAACTTGATATTCCAAATGTGCATAACAAGAGGTTTTGAAAAAATCTGCAAAACATGAATGATTCGATAGTCCAGGTTGAACACCTGAATTTTTTAATGTCCAGCTATTATGTTACAATTTAAAGAAATGACGTTTTAACGCTATTTTCTGAATAGGGTCCACGACATAGTCGCTTATTATTTCCATTACACTGCTCTTAGCATATATTTATTTATATTTCCAGAATGTGCATATGCTGCACTTTGTTGTTAAAAAAAAAGAAATATGTTGAACCTTTATGTTTAAAGCTATGTGATAAACTAAGTGTCCAGTGTTTTTGTTACGCATTTGTTTTCTGGGAAAAAATGCCGACGTCGTAAATGATTGAAGTAATTTGAAGACGTTACGTTTGTGGACTCAGCTTTGTGCACGCCGTCAAGACGATGCATCTAGTACTTTAGTATGGAAGATGACTTTTGACTTTGATTTTAACCTTCTAGGTCAACTGATTGCTTTTTAAATGTCCGCCCCAAATTTATATATATAAACTTGTTTGTAATAACAAACCCTTCCTCTAGTATAATTAATCTTTAAATTCTTAAAAATGGTTTACATCCCAACCTGAAGACCATATATATTTGTCACCCGCGTTGCGGGGACATGGAAATACCGGCCGTCCGTCCGTATGTGCGTCCACTCGGTATTGTAAGCGCTCTCAGGTATACAGTTTTTGCCAGATTTTATATTGTGGGTTCATATCAGCAATATCTTGGACTAGTTCGAAAATCAGTGCAACATTAGGTATATGTAAAATTGCATCGTTAGCGCTCTCATGTGTACAAACCTTGCCAGACTTACATGAAACTTATATCGTAGGTTTGTATTAGCAATGTCTTGGACGAGTTCGAAAATCAGTGCCGAACAATAATTTTTAAAAGAGTTTTGACCCTTGGAAATTTTGATTATATGGAAAATTTCATTAATTGCGCTCTCATGTGTACAATTCTTGCCAGAATTTTATGAAACTTATATCATAGGTTTATATCAGCAATGTCACAGTCAATGTCGAAAATAAGTGCTGATCAAATAATTTTAAAAGAGTTATGCTCCTTGAAAAAAATAATTATAACGGAAATTTTTTTCTCCATTTGCTCTGAATCCTTCATTTCTTTAAGATATTTATAAATTGTCTTAAAGAACAAAATAAAAGTACGTTTTTAGTTGTTGCCCTTGGATAGATACAATATATGCAAAGTGGGGGACAATTTTCCTTTTATATCAGTTGCCTTGTTAAGACTTTTCTAATTTCTCATTTACTATTCAGGACAAGCCCTCCCCGCTTTTATCAATAGACTGATAATTGGAGGTCGACATCTTTAGCATTTGTGTAACACATCGATGTTCAAAAAATTATATTGGAAAAATTAATTTAGAAAAATGTTGATAATATCCTATTGGTGAATATTCCTTTATGTTTTCCTATCTGTAACGTGTTTGGATCTAATAGAAATTTCTTATTGTAGATACTGATCGAATTTGTGGGATCTCAGCCCTTTTCAACTAAGGGATATGAAATTATTGTTGTGGGCACAGAGAAAAAAATCAGTTCCTGGACTAGTAGTGGAAATCTTGCAGACTTTGGGATACGTCATTCTGCAGTTGTTGAGGTTATGTGGAATGTTGACGAGCCAACAACTACCATACCAATTATAAGGTTTTAAACTTATATAACTGTGAAATATCATATTTATGAAGCATTTCCAGCAGCCTCTATTCAAAATGGCATGTATGGAAAGTTTTACATTTAAAGTAAACCCTTTTGGAATTGCATACAAAAATATGACACGAATCAAAAACCACTAGCAAAACATAAATGATGAGTTCGTAGTTTAGAAACATAACGTTAAAACAAGGATCACCCTAAAAAAAAACAATGGAGTCTTTGATGCCTTTATTACATTTAAATGGGTATTAAATGATGATGTATTTTTACATAAAGTGTATAATAAAACATTTTATGGCTGGTGGCTCTTTTGTGAATGACCATTACAAGACTCGCTTAACTTTTGGATTCTGGAAGAAACACTTCATACCTAAAGTTGTTCTAGTTCTTTAAAAATCTGGAAACAAAAGTGTATGTCAGCCAATTAAGGTAGGATTGTAATCTAGGCTAGCATGTCTCAAATATAAAATGTGTGGTAGTGTATGGGTTATATTATTTTAGGACATATGAAGATTTAATTACCAGCACCTACACAGATAATTTTGATGTTGATGACGATCAGGATCAAGACCAAGATCAAGATACTGCTGGGAGGTATTTTGTCCTATATACTTATGTATTTCATCACAAGAAAATTGTACACTCTTTCAGTTATTAAAGATGGGAAAAGAGATACACGGATGTATAAACAGAGTCAATTAACGCTCCATGTATATATGGTCTCTGATTTTCTCACATTTGTGATAATTAAAAAATATATGAACTATTGACATTTTTTTTTATGAATCGCATTCGCCTAGAGCATCTAACTTTCTAGGAGGCGACTGTTAATAATGGAAAAGTGTGCATCAAAATATTTTTATAAATAGTGTATACAATTGAAATAAATAGATTAGATAACGCATATTCTAACTGGAATTGAAAATCGAATCTGAAACTCAAAATCTGACTCAAACTTCAGAATAAGTGTATATTGAAATGGCTTCACTATGAACATTACTTATTGAATCATTATAGTTTAGCCTCTGTCAGACAGGAAGAGGACGCACATGTAGATGTTAGGGAACTATTACAAACCTGGAAAATTAAAGAAATTGATTTGGACAATTTTCAGAAGATAGTTGTGTCTAGACAACCCAGGTCATTGTGGGAGCATTCATTACGGTGCTTCAACAGAGAAAATTTTAAATTAAACCACACGTTAAAGGTAAGTCATATAATATCATAAAGTATGGTTGAATTATTACCACTTAACAAAAGGCAAGGGACAGTCAAAAACAGTCTATTAATAATACAAAAAAAATGTTTAAAATAACGAAAATCGACAAAAAAACCATTGAAAAATGAAATAGAACACATTATCAACTAACATCCGCTTCCCATGAAAATTTAGAAACTCAAACAGAATGAAACACAAAAAAAAAAACATTGTCTAGGTAGCTTTACTTGGTACAGGTGCAATTTGCAGGAACTGTGTTGAAAAACTAAAAGACATGATAAAAAAACTAAGGACTGCCACTTGTTAAAACCTGGAAATAAAGACTGTACAAAGTTTTTAAAATAGTGTCAAAATGTGCTCACTTCTTCGGGTAGCTTTACTAGTTGGTTAGATATTGTCACTCTAACTGCCTAAAAATGAAAACGAAATGGAAGGGGGAGAAAAATATTGTCTACTATTATCTTTTTTCGAAAGACATTAAATGTAACAGTTTAGATCAGTTTAGATGCTGATGACAGCATTAATAAACCAGTTTTTGACAGTTGTAACCTGTTGTGCTCTTGATTCATTATATAAACAAGTGAAAGTTTAATGGTCAGAGTTTACGACCTATGGTACCAAACATCTGTGTCTGCATATTCACAGAGAGATATTTATGATGTTGGGGTTTGTACATAATGAGTTCTAATGAGCTTTGATTGTTTGATTTGTTGGTTTGTAACTATAAATTGTATGCACACTTGTCATTTGGACAATTAAGATAAATAAAATTTCCATTTAAAGAACTGAGAAATAAAATGCAAATTAATTTCACTGGATATTAAGTTTAAACCATGATCATTAATACTAGTTGAAAGATGTTTTATTGCTTTCTGTTTGTACATACATTATGACATAACGCTCTATTTAACTGCATATTTTTGGCGAAGAAATAGAAAAGTTTATTCAAAATCTTGTATTTATGTTTTTTTAAATCTTGGTCAACAAAGTATTTACAGGTTTTAAATTTAAACCATACATTAAAACATTTTTTTGTACGGTGCGAAAGGTATGATATAATCAGTCTTATAAAACTGTCAAATATCGATAACAGTTCAAAACATTGCCTTTGATTACAGTAAACTTAAAAACGAAATTAAACTTGACGACTACTTGCACAATCTAAAAAAATTTCATAGTCGACAACTTTTAACAAAATTCCGTGTAAGGGACCATAACTTGGAAATTGAAATGTCGATATGAAAATAATAAAAAAAAACAACATAGAGTGGGTGAAGTTTGCAAAATTTAAGATGATGAGGAACACTTTTTCCTTGCATTGTAATAAAGTTATTTTGTTAGTCTTGTATCATTTTTAATTTTAGTTTCTTGTGTATAATTTGGAGTTTAGTATGACGTCCATTATCACTGAACTAGTAAACATATTTGTTTAGGGGCCAGCTGAAGGACGCCTCCGGGTGCGGGAGTTTCTCGCTGCATTGAAGACTCATTGGTGGCCTTCGGCTGTTGTCTGCTCTATGGTCGGGTTGTTGTCTCTTTAACACATTACCCATTTCCATTCTCAATTTTATTATATATAAAAGTTATACTAGCTGTTCATTATCACGTATGATATGATTTTGACGCGCCTACATATTTAATGAATATTTAAGACTTTGAAAATAAGAACAGCACGTGTAGCAAAAACTGGAATAGAAAATATTAACAGAAATATAGTGTTTAATTATTACAAGCCAAGCAAGTGAAACACGGATCTTTTACTGCTGTTGTTGTTCAAATTTCGATTTACTTCCCGTTTTAATTTTATTTCCATATATCTGTCTGTATATATGTAATGTAAATACATCCTGTAACGTTGATAAACTGTTCTAGTTTGTTGTTGAGGGTTTCAATGGCAAATGCTCAGTATTTTGCATATTTCTAAACTAATCTCAATTTTAGGTTGAGTTCCGTAATGAATGCGGAGAAGATGAAGGTGGCTTAAGGAGAGAATATCTGGAAATTCTTCTACGACAGATGTTGAAGTCATCTTATTTTGAAGGTGAACAATATGTTACAGAATTTACTCTTTTCAAAAGAACTATTCTATTATGATTGATACTTATGAAATTGTATATTGTTATTGCACAAATTTTCGGGGCACTGATTTAAGATCTAAATGCCATTATTTTCACAATGTTTTGTGTAACATAACACTTTCAATTTTAGTGTTTTAAACGTTATGGCAGCTTATTCACAAAGCATCTGTTAACTATTTAACGCAGTTAAAAATATAACGTGTTCCATAAACGTGATAACTGGTACGCTATTTTAACACGAAATCCGTTAGTTTGCAAAAATGTTATTGATTTGTCGGGTGGTTTAATTGATTCAAAGATTGGCTTTTCAGTAAAATACAAAAAACTTGTTAATCACATTTTATCTTGCTAAATTGTTTATTTCTCATGGAAAATGCAGTTGTACGTGTTTAAATGAAAGTTTGTAGGGTTTTTGAGTCAGAACCCTTAATAATAAACACCATTTAGATCTATTTTGATAGAATTAAAATATATTAAAATCCGATTTATGTGCGTGCAGTGTCAGAGTAACAAATTTCAAATAGTTCTTTTCCTATTTTCTAATCACCTTGATATCTGCAAAAGGGGCTTTTTTTAGAACATTAATAATAACTCTAACGAAAAATCGTAGCTCCTTTATTATTATATGTATCATTTTTTCGTGTTCGAACCTCACTTCCCTTTTACGGTCAAGCGGGAAAATATAAGTCTTTTGGTTACTGTTGTCGATAGATTGCTGTTTCATTCATATATTCTTTTATCGAGTTATTTTAAAATATGTCCATTAAATAAAGGTACAGTTGTATAAGACAACTCTTTATCAAATACCAAATTACGTAAAAGGTTAGCAACTATAGAACACCGTACGGTCATTAAACAATGAGCAACACATATACAACATAGGGCAAACTATAAATTGTCCTGAAATGACAAATGTAAAACAGTTCAAACAAGAAAACCAACTAGATGTACAAAACAATAAACGAAAAATGAAATATGATATACAGCTACAAACCACAAAACTACAGGCTCCTGACATGAAACAGGCACATACAAAATGGGGGTGGGGAGTTAAACATGTTTGTGGTCGTTTTGAACCCTTTCCTAACATCAAACAGTAGTGGGACAGCACAACATAAGAACAAACTTTTACGGTATAATCAGTTGAAAGGGTGAATGTATATTTTTCATGAACCATGTGTTATGCGATCCTCCTGTTATTTGAGTTTTTCTCAATGGGTTCCCATCTCAACTTCGCATATCCCCTTTTATTGTCATACGTGATCATTGAACTCTTTTTGGTTATTTTTATCGCTAGGTTGCTGTCCCATTGATGTTTACCCCGCATCTACTTTATGGTGTTATTTTTAGAACAATTTCTACTAAATAGAGGTACATATATGTAAACGAAAAAATGCACACAGTTTTATCTGTTAATTCCGGAAATCTAGAAATTTGCATTATTCTTAATTTATTTTAAGTATTTAAATTCATCATTTGTTATATTAATTTATTGGAAAACTAGATTGAAACTGAATCTGATGTGGAAATATTAAACCAGGACGAGGCAGTTCAAAATATACTCGAATCTGCAGGTATAAATCTGAGAATTTCGGCAACATCAAAGAGTACTATATCTAAGGCTTTGATAGCTTATTTTTCGCGAGTGACTTCCAAGAAAGCCATCTTAGACCAGTTCTGGGAAGGAGCAGAACAGATTGGTCTACAAACACTGTTAAAATCAAATACAGGTAATTAAGAAACAATACATATTGGAATTAGTTTTAGTCCACACTCAACACACAGTTGTTGAGGTCTAATGTTTCTGTCAGATGCTGCTTGTGGAATGGATGAAATTTGTCAATTCATAATAAAAAAAAATGTTCCGTTGATGAATTACCTCTCCAAAGCTCAATCCAATGATTGGTCAGTTGAGAATGAACCTTGTGAACTTTACTTTACAAAAAAAGTCAACAGATGTGACTTTCAGGACAAATTTTAAAATTGAAACGAAAACTGTTATTTCATTGATCTATTGGTTTATTTAGTCCCCTACCAAATAAGTCTAGGGGACCTTAGATTTGCACTCTGTCTGTCTGTCTGTCTGTCTGTCTGTCTGTCTGTCTGTCTGTCTTTCTGTCTGTCTGTCTGTCTGTCTGTCTGTCTGTCTGTCTGTTGTCTGTCTGTCTGTCTGTCTGTCTGTCTGTCTGTCCGGCAAATAAGTTTTCGAGACCTTTTTTCATCCTGCTTGAAGATATTGATTAGATATTTGGTGTATTGCTATATCATGAAAAGTTTCAGATCAAGTTCGAGTTTTGTTCTGGTCTAATTTTGTGCAGAGTTATGGTCCTTGGACTTAGAAAATTCACTCCAATAATCAGTTTTCCGCACATTTATTGTCATACTTGAAGGTATTGATTTGAAAATAGGTACATAGTTTTACCATGACATGTTAGAGATCAACTAGGAATTTAGTTCCGGACTTGGTATTGTGTGCAGAGCTATGGCCCTTGAACTTATAAAAAATCACTTATATAACAGGGTTTTTTCGTCATTCTCGAAGATATTGAATTGATATATGTTATATAGTTTACACCAAGACAAGTTATAGATCAAGTAAGAATTTTGTTCCAAGACAATCAATTTTTAACCGGTAGGGGAATATGTATTGTCATGCAATACTCACAGAATGCTTGTTATTCATCAGATGAATGCGTGTGCATTTTGATGAAACTGAGAAATTGTAAGCAGCAAAAATATAAAATAAAAATATCTTGTTGTAGGAAATCTTGTTTCATTACTCATCTTATTTTTTTTTAAATTGTCATTTTTTACGTTTTCTCTTTTCAAGTATAACCATTTTGTGTAGTTAAGGGTGTAAATGTTTTGGAAATATTTTTTTAAATGAAAGCTGAATCAATTTTATTCTTTTTGCAGGAAATATCAGGAAAATTCTATGCAAATGCTGTGGTGTTCCGCAAGAACTAACAGGGGACATGTTCATGGATATGTGCGTTGTTAAAAGTTTTGGAGAAAGGGGGAGTAATATGCGGCAGCAATCGGAAGATGTGGCACAAAATTTTGAAAGTTTTGTGTTTGATTGTCAAGGTAATTAAAAACGTTTTTTTGTAATATTTACTTTACAGCACACCAACTGAAAACTGCAATTTCGGTGTTCATGCCAGAAGAAAGTGGTATGTTGTTAGTAGTAACAGTAGGAAAGTAGCACATAGAAAATAACCGTTGCTGAAAGACTAAGGATCAAAAGATGATCTGCTTTTAATCTGTCAACACAGAAATACATTTCATAAATTAAGGTTCTGGTTAGTTTAATCGAATTCAATAACGATTTCTTATTCTTCAATCGCTTGACGTTCAAAAATTAATGACACTTACAGTACCATTTTGCATAGCCAAAAAAGAATGCCCCTTTTCTTCATTATATTTTGCATATCCAATTTGACATGTCAATATAAATGTTAAAATTTTAAATAAGAATAAAAAAGTACTAATGCTTCGTTTTCATTTCAGAAGGTAAATGTCAGTACACCGACGGGGTCGTACATCTTTGTGATATCCTGCAATTCCTAACAGGATGCAGCAGCATTCCACCAGGTGGATTTGACAACAAATTTACAGTAAATTTCACTGATGTTAAATGCTACCCGAGCGTATCAACCTGCACCTTGGACCTGACATTGCCTATTCATTTGGTGAATTATACGAATTTTCATGACGTAATGAAAGAGGCAATTGTATCTGGACCTGGCTTTGGACTAATATAATGTACTTAACAACACAAATAACAAACCACATCTATCTATATATCGTAGTTTACAATTTCTTGTTTAAGCTACTTTGTACAATATTCTATATTTTAAGCATAATCTTAAAATTAATGCTGAGTCCACAGAGAAATTTTGATTTTAGTTGAGACAATGGAAATTTCAACCACATGAGTAAAATACAAAAATCTGAGATAAATCAATTTCAAATTGGTCACGCTAATTTTACTAATTTGATATAACAAACTATACCAAACTAATAATTTGTATATAACAGATTATCAATTTGTATATAACAGATAATCAATTTGATATAACGAATAATCAATTTAACTGAGTATCAATTTGATATAACATATTATGATAATTTGGTATAGCAATTTATTAATTTGATATATCAAATAACTTATGCATGGATTTGAGATATAAAACTAAATGTTTGTTTGCATTGCTAATGGTCCGCGGTCCTAAACCTATATATCAAGCTGCCCAGATAACACACGTGATCTGTTCAACAGAAATTAAAACTCAACAATCTTTCTAAATCTCGCGCGTGTGTCTTTATTTTTAATAAACATTTTCTCTTTTACATTCGTTCGTTCATCGAAGTATCATATATATAATACTGTCATGGTTCGTTCATGCAGGTCCAATTTACAAAATGGAGAAACTAGTCCCAAAACTGCCTCGAAAAAAGGAGAGAAGGTTGGGTTATAGACATAATAGAGTTTTGAATCTGAATTAGATATTTGTCACTGGACGTCAGATAAACAATGAATTAATACACAAAAAATGTGCCAGTTTAGGTTACGAAATCTTTTAATTAATCATAATTATGATTAAATCATACTATTGGTAGATACACACATAATTTGTTATATAAAATCAAAAAGTTGATAAATAAAATTAATAATTTGATAAATAAAATTAATAATTTGATAAATAAAATTTACAATTGTTATATCAAATTGATAATCAGTTATATCAAATTGTTAATCTGTTATATCAAATTGATTAATCTGTTAAATCTAAATAATAATTGGTTATATCAAATTATTAGTTTGTTATATCAAATTATTAGTTTGCTATATCAAATTATTAGTTTCTTATATCAAATTATTTTGTTATAACAAATTGGAAGAAGCAAATTAGCATCGCCCTAAAAAGCTTCCGTACAGTAGACAATAACTCGATTTAGAAACTGGAAATCAAAATTATTTATTTGATTTCAGTTGAAAAGATACACATAACTTTAATTTTCACAAATTTGGAAACTTTTTTTTAAATTAGAAATTTGATATGTCCAAAATTAAAATTATGACTCCCTATTTTCACAGAATATAGTGTGTATGCTTTCAGGAGCGTCATGTGTCAAAATTTTGATCCATTTCAATGACTTAATTTTTTTTAAATGCAATAGAAATTTTTACTCAATAGAAATTAAGGGAGATGGTGCGGTTCTTATGTTGTTGAGTATAATTGTATAAGTTTTCAACAGCTAGGCTCGCTCCACAAATATTGATTATTATTCTATTTATAAATTTTGGTACTGGTATATTGATATTTTCATACTCACTAAAATCAACCAAATAAACTGCTCGTACTATGAAATATAAAGTGACTTTGGCGCAGCCAGAAAACCAAAACATTTTAGCTTAATTTATTTCAGAAATAAATGGTACTAAATTATATATTGGTACATAATTTGTTAATAACACACTCATATTTGTGCTTTTTGTAATTTTTATTTTTGGCAATTATCATGGAACTTAAATATATACAGAGAAACTGCGAGCAGACTGAAAAACAATATTTATGATTGACTTCTTGAAGGAGATGATATTCCCCTTTCTTTGTTTAAATGTTTACCATTTTTTGCGTTTTTATACGCTCGTTTACGTTTTATTTCTATGGTGTATTTTTGTACCCCAAATAAAGCATTCTATAAATTGTAAAATGTATTTCTATTCCGTTTATTTATTGGAATTTATAATAGGAAAAAAAAGATTGTTAACACTTTTATTTAGTATAACAATATAGTTTAGCTTTTATAATGTGTTTATTGCTACTGTATATTGTGTATTATTTTCCCATCCACAAATATTGCCATTTTTTGGTAGGTGTTTGTCTTTTGGCTTTTTCTTAAAACTGTATTTATACTGGATAGAAAGAAACTTTATCAAAAAAATGAAAAAAAAAAAAAAAATACCAACACTCTTTTAGAATAACAAAAAAAGTCACGTATAATTAAATTGTCAATCGACTCCTTATAGGTCCAGGAAGGGTTACTAAAAGTGTTAAAATAATAGAATGTTCATGTAGATGGGTATTGTATTGTATTGTTTAAATGTATGTTTTATTTGTATAAAGTACACTTTATTGGGAGAAATCCGACTGCGCCAAAAATGCGTCTTTTTGCGATAAATGCTTCGTTTGTACCACATGTTTTTGTAATACCGAGTATCATTTGCGCCAATTTATTTCAAATAAAAATTAATGACTTCACTTCTCCTTTTTAACCGGATATGGGTTCAGCGGGTTTCATTGGTGAAGTTATGATTACTTTATACATTATTTATAACAACTGTTCTAAATTTTCCAGTTGATGAATTAGGAATGTATTAAGAAACTAAGGTTCCAAACTCAGTCAGGCAAAGTCGACCTTAGATATAAATGATTATTTTAAGATACCTTTTCATGTCATATAGCTCTGTACGTGCTTAGATCCTGTATATCATAAATGTTCGGTGAATATATAATTACAGGTCAATTGTCGCAAATGATATTGTTTGAAAATAGTAATTGGCGCAAATTATACATCTTGTCAATAGCAATTGGCGCAAAAGGACTGTTGCTTTTTAATCTATATTGATTTGATCATAGATGTAATACCCATATGATTTGATAAAGCATTCTGTATTCTGTATATATGAACAATTGTTTCAAGGCATGTCTTCATCAAAAGAAATTTATGGAAGATAGATTGTTAAAACTTATTTGTTGTATAAGTAACAAAAGTTTTTTTTCATTTGTTTATAAAATAATTCATGATTGCTACTGTATCTTGTGTATAATTATTATCACCTCAGCCACATTTTGGTCATTTTTTAAGGGTTATATTTTGCTATTTTTCATTTAGAATTGTATATACCGGTATATGAAAGTGATAGAGAGAAACTAAAAGAACTGATTGGCAAAATAAGGTCTATCAATAAAGTAAACATTTTCTAAACTCCTTACAGTTGTCTTTGCCTTCCCTGTCAATTGACACCTTATAGGAGCTGGGCTCTTAGCTAAGAAGGTATATTTCGACCTGAAAAAAAAATATTTGGGCTATTACCAGGAAAAACGAAAAACAAGGGGATAAACTGTAAGCATAAAAAAAAAATAATTAACCAATAGGTTTAAAAATAAATGAACATGACCAAAATTTCAATGGATTTTTTAATTTGTAGGACGATTTTTCGTTCTTTTTTTTTTTGTATTTTGAGTGAGAAAACAGCAACAACTATTAACTTGATAAGAGCATAACTGGTTGCAATAACAAGAGTAAAAATTAAATATTAAAGTGGAAAATTTCTTGACGGACGAGCGATATAAGCTCCCAGGAACATCTTGTTTATCTTAGACATGATTGCTGTATAATTTAGAACAAGTATTTACATATATGTTCAAAATAAAAATATCTCTTGTATTTGACAAAATTTTTCTGGCATCACTGGAATTAACATGTAACAATATGTTTAAGGTATGTGACTATCTTAGTTATTTTCACACCTTTGTCCACTATATTCAGTAATTATATATAATAATTGATCTTGACATAATTTGCATGGTCCCAGAGTACAGTCCCAGGCAGTCAGTATTTGTGCATTGTGGGACAGAAGTTATTTTGCAAATTGGTTGCCAATGAGGAGTATGTGTTAGTCGTAGGGAAGATAACCTGACTTAATTTGGTGGTTCAGTGGCCCATTAAGGTTCTGTGATAACTTCAATTCCTCGGTAAATATGATTTATGTTCTAGGACAATAGTTGTAAAAGTTGCTCTTCGGTTATTCCGCTCAGTCATCTGTTATAAGAAACCTGAACCTGATCTGAATTTTATTTCTGATTTCCTTTATATTCATTTATTTGGAATCGAGTCAATCCAAGGTTAGATTCAGCAATTGGCGTCACATAAACTATAACTGCAGTTTAATGTGTGCAATGCGTTTTTTGTGTTTCTGTAGGTACTAAGTAACAATGCATATCATTCACATATAGTTGGAAGGAATAAAGACAGAGGGACGTAGAGATAAGATGAGTCCCACATTTCTGCAAACCATATGCACACAAAATGGTTATCTTTTCCTTGGTTAAAAAAGGCAAAGCACAAAAAGACAAATAACAGGTCACAAAATACGAAATGTAAAACAGACAACTATTTAGAGCGGAATGACATAATGTGTTCATTTACACTCATATCACATCTTCTTATATCTAAGAAAGGATATTCAATCTTTCTCAATATTAATTTTCAGTCATATCTAATAAACAAGTCTCATATTGTGCTTAAGCTAGGTTCACACTGCCGATCAGATCAACTCGATGATCCCGATTGTCCAAATTTCCACGACCAAGTGTAACCAAATTCTTGATCGGGTCTGTGTACGACTTCTACCCGACCGCTATCCGACTGTATACGACTTTAACTCGACCATTCAAGACTCCCTAATGACTCAATCACGACTCAAACCCGACCACTAATTGAATACATATTCGATTATTTCGACCAATTCACGATCTCTACACGATCTTTACTCCAATAGCTAGACCAAATAATCTATAATCGATCTCAGCCCGATCTTGACCAGACCAGATCGACCTAATCGTATAGGGGTCGTAGGGATAGTCGGGTATGTACAATTTGAGTTAAGTGTTACTCGCGTCTGTTCGTACGTACGTATGTCCCAACAATTAGTTTCCGTTCTCTTAACTTTACTTTGCGTCAATCAAAATGTGCCA